TCCTCTTCAGACTTACACTAAACAAACTGTCTGTACAATATACGTATCTTGCGCACTAGAAAAATCTAAAGCGTTTACATAGCTGTTGAGAACAAGAAATGCCTTCTCAATATATTGAAGCTGATATCATAAACAGAGACATGTGTTTGTGATATGCATGTTTATTTCCACGTTTATACAGACTGCAGTTATACTAGAGTTGACGGCGTTAATTCATGCAATCGATGGTAAACTCGCCAAACCCGAACTTGACTAGAGCATCACCGCAGTTTGAGAGAAAGTCCTTGGAAGTACCAAACCTGAGAACAAGAACAAACAGCTAACCACTGGGCAATCTTTCAGTCCCTAGATTTCAATATTATTTCTAGTATAAGACGAGTATATGGATGGCAACCTCTTTCTTTATTGTACAACACGACGTTTCTGGGCTACTTCTTGTCCCTCCTTTAAGTGATTGAAGGTAAACTCGCCAAACACGAACACCTGAAGAAAGGACAAGAAGTAGCCGAGAAACGTCGTGTTATACAATAAAGAAGAAGTTGTTATCCCTATAATCGTCTTATATATTCAACAACTTCTAAATGCCTCTCAAGAATCTCATCATTTCCAGTAGTTCCTGAACTAAAGAAGCGTTTCTTCTTCTGTATGGATTTCATACAGTGAGTGAACGAATATGTTTTAACGCCGTTTGCAGCACGGCAGAGACACTAGAAATGGGCTCCACAATTTATGACCATGTGGGGTATCGAACCCGGATCTTCAGTACTACGAGCGAACGCTTGAACCAAAAGGTCATCCCACTGTCCTTTTAGGAAGGTGAGTCTGTTTTAACGTCCTTGAACAGAATTCGGTGATACTACGGTTTGAAATACCGCTGTGGTGCAGATCTATACACACCTTATCATTTCTGTAAAACACACGAGCACGACATGGTGTAGACAAACCTGGATACAAACCTATCATGGATTCGAACAAACTCTGGACAATGAGAGTCCAATCGCCTTAGCCAACTGGGCCACCTATGTTTCCGCACTGTTAAAATCTAGAATACAGCCTGATACAACATACCCTGAGAATCGGAGGACGTTGTTGACACATTGCACGGTAACACCACACGTGTCCTGGTCGCCGACGACTTTCAGGCCAGTCTCTGGGTCATTCTCGTATTTGATGCCTTGCCTGTCACAGCGGCCCTCTGGGAGGCCTAGATCTGAAGAGAGATACAGTCAGAAGAAGAAAGAATGAGGGATTTACCTCCTAAGCAATTATATCAATGCATGTTACACAACGTCTAAACATGACACGTCACACATTATCACAGACACAGGGCGTCTCACCATTTGCAAATGTTTTAAATGAAATGAATAAGGAATTGATATGTATTAAAAACTATTTTTTCTCCAAAAGATTCCAACCCTTTTTTCTAGGGGCTGAACTACGGGGATGTGTGCGTGTGTGGGTGCGTGCGCGTGCGTGCGTGTGTGTGTGCGCGCGCGCGTATTTTACGCCATGATATCTGCAGACTGTCAGAATTGTGATTTACACATTGTACTCTAGTGAAGAATCGAACCCGGGCCCTCTGCGTGAAGAGCGAACGCTTTAACCATAGGCTAACCTCTGTAATATTGAGAGAAATGATGGTTAATCGCTCTCATCATAAAATGACAGGTTTCAAATAATGGTTTAGGGTCTAAGGTTATTAAAATAAAATTACGCTGAAGCATTGGACTATCGATGGAGGTATGAGGGAATCAGGTCAAATAACTTTAATAAGTGTCTCAGGCAAAAATAGAACAATTGCATAAAAAATACCTTCTTCTAAAATTAAGTTGTGGGGATTATCTGCAGAGGAGGGCATCGCGAACACCAGGTGCCGTCACTATCTCATATTTTCAAAAGATCTCATTTCTACACTATTTTGCCTTTTACACACATCTGATGGAAGCATACTTTTCTTTAGCTGATATTTTACATGCTATTAAAACACAAAGTAAACATGTTTATCCACGAGGACACTGTGGACTGACTGGCCAAGGGTATGAACTGTGATTTGCACAAAGAAGCGGATCCTGGCCGACAAAGGGACAGGACTACTGAGTAACATACTGCATGAGCCTTCTATATGATGTTGTCGTGAGACTTTACCTAAGTCGTTCACGATCACGTCGGCGCGGTTCAGACTGCAGATGTTGGCGAGCCCCGCTGTTGCAAACATCAGCACCAGGAATACACGGCACACTTGCATGATGGATGATGTCTCAGTCTGAAAGGGGAATCAAAACGTCATAGTCTATGCGTGTTTGTACTTGTGTCTGTCGGGTGATTAGAGTGAGTGAGTATGGTTTAACACCCTTCTAGCATTACTGAAGCAATATCAGGGCGGGGGACACCAGAAATAGGCTTCACATTGTACCCATGTGGGGAATCGAACCCGGATCGTCGGTGTCACGACCTTCAACCATGAAGATTTACACGTCCCAGCTATGTAACGTTTCTGACGCTGATAGTGTGGCTACGGTTGACACCGGACGATGACGTGTATGTATACGTATGATGACGTACACTCTCTGTTGGCGTACTGAAGCTTTATCAAACCGTACTCATCAGGGAAACGACCGTGTCCGTTTTAAGGAGACTTGTTGCTATCTAGGAAGAATACTTAAACAAAATACAGGTCAATCAACGACAAATGTTTTGTATTACTTAAGGGTAGCGACCCTAACGACAAATTTCGGATATAGTTTTCAAAGGCATTGGAACTGAATTGTTTTGTTAAAAGGGATCAAACATACTGCATCAACTCTTAAAGCACCATTGCCAGAGAAGACCCGTAAAGATTCGGGTTAGATCTGGTCATAAGCAAGAGCATGTAGCAAGAGGCGACTACGGAGACGTGCATATTTTCAGCTGGAATATTACTGAGTGCGGCGTTAAACTACAAGCAACGACAACATTTCCAGAGTCATAAAAGGTTATAAGTGATAATTATAATTTGAAAATGGTTCATGGCAAGACAGTAAACACAGTGTGTTAGTGTGGCACAAAATCTCTGGATGTTCTTATCAAACATGTGTTTCCCTGTTTAGCAGTCTTCTGCCCATCAATGTACGATCCTATTAAAAACGACAAGTGTCTAACACAAGGACATACCTGTTCTTGAACACCCCGTGTGCAGCACAGGACAAGGAGGACGTCGTTTGTGAAGCCAACTGGAGGCCGATGTCAACAACTGGGATTTGGAACCATATGTTTCACCGACCAATACACACGGATTGTGCGACACGCCAGGATTATAGTCAACTCGATATTAATAAGTAAACATTATTCAAATATGACGATCGATAGATCAATGGATAAATACTCTCTCACCCCTACATCTGGGTAGTCTTTCGTTGATGCTGAGATTTGAATCGTCACAATATATATGTTTCCGTCACTTACTTAAACGTGCGGAAGTTAAGCGGGATTTGTCACATGTGCTTGCTTTATGTGGTAATCTTAAGCCTTGTTGTTGCAGAAAATGCACGTGTATATTTTATTCCACCTGGTGCTTGCGCCCACACGCAGAATGTAAACAAATATATGTTCATGTAAACTGGGACTGGTGCCAGGGATGGTATAATCTGTCCTCCGTCATTGCCAGTTGAAACCATGGCCATAGTGAGTGAGTATTGATTTACGCCGCGTCACCAATTTCGGAGCTGTTCGCGGGTATCCTTGGCCAGAAGTATGAAACATAAGAGTCATCTTTGATTCTGAGCAAGTACTGGGGGTTATATTTTTAAATACTTCAGTAAATCTGTCTATATATGTGTTCTGCAACACACATAAATACGATCTTTCACATGACCGGTCAGGCGGTGGGGTAGCCTAGTGGTTAAAGCGTCCGCTCGTCACGCCGAAGACCCGGGTTCGATTTCCCACATGGGTACAACGTGTGAAGCCCATTTCTGGTGTCCCCCACCGTGATATTGCTGCCATATTGCTAAAGGCGGCGTAAAACCATACTCACTCACATGACCAGTCGTGCAAGAATACACGTTGGTGCTGTGTGTAATGCGGTTACCATGGCTCCTTTTGGACCATAACATTGTAGGTTTCAGCCTCTTATCGTATTGACAAGGTTTGTAATTTTCAAGGGTATGCTGCCCACAGCTTATGTTCTTAGATATTAACACAGACGTCCTGCTAACAACCCCAAATACCACAATCCAAAGAAACTGTGGATTAAGCCCCCGTTGAACATCTTTCACCACTCGATAAGGTGTGTTACACAACACAGCAAAGCAATAGGCACCCTCTTCTACGGCACTGTAGAAGTGAGAGCACAGACCACCTTATTTTGGCAGCCGTGGCTTCAAATGGCTATTGATCTCTCCCTCATCACGATAGATTTCTAGATCACGTTTACAAATGAAAAGTTAAGAATTAACAACATAAATTAATGATTTCTTTCGGAGCTATTTATTGCCAACTTATAACGCACAGATTAAACAGATTCCTCTACATATGTCTCATTAGAAATCAGGCAGAATTTAATAAAATACTATTAGAATATTAATTTTAAATGCATATTATGTTATAGAACGCCGACAAACAAGCTAAGCTGAGCAAAGGTTTAAAAAATCCAAACGGTCGCCATTGGTGTTTTCAGAAATGTTTCAGATATCGATCTTAACACGATTCGCAATATCATAAACCGGTTAGCTGGTGACTTGATTTCGAATTAAACACCATTTCGAGACTATCAAAGTCGACAGAAAAATCCGCAACAGTTTTTCCCAAGTGAACATAAGCAGGATGTTAGATCTGTACAGTATGCAGGTCCGACCATAAAGGTATTAACACATAGCGGCACAACCAATAACCAATAACGTTATTTCAAAACTTATTTTCGGGATTTCCAAGCATAAAAGCGGAATGTTACAAGACTGAACGATACTTAATGGTAACAAAGGTCACTTGAATGAAAACGTCTTAATACCATCATGAATGCACATCTCGAAGTCAAAATAAATATCGTTGTTGACAAAGTTACGGGTGTCTGGATGTGTAAACAACCAATGGCCGACATTTTAGCGACGCGCCTGCGCATTGCGGGCCTCGATGACCCTCCTCAGCTCGGCCTCAAGTTGTTCCTCCGTCAAGCTCGTGACGTCAGGGGTATTTCTTTGAGCGAACTTCAACTTGTACATCCTCTCCAAAACTTTCCTCTTGTGCACGCTGCGTTCAATCAGACAATCCGACGCAACCACATTCAGCCCGAACTCAATCAGGGCATAGTCACAGTCGGGCAGTACACGGACGCACTCAGTAGGGAAGCTCCTGCAAGGTGATATAGACAGGTTATTACATGGGTAGACACAGTGGGACAGTACACGGACGCACTCATTAGGGAAGCTCCTGCAAGGTGATATAGACAGGTTATTACATGGGTAGACACAGTAGGGAAGCTCCTGCAAGGTGATATAGACAGGTTATTACATGGGTAGACACAGTGGGACACTACACGGACGCACTCATTAGGGAAGCTCCTGCAAGGTGATATAGACAGGTTATTACATGGGTAGACACAGTAGGGACACACTCAGTAGGGAAGCTCCTGCAAGGTGATATAGACAGGTTATTACATGGGTAGACACAGTGGGGCAGTACACGGACACACTCAGTAGGGAAGCTCCTGCAAGGTGATATAGACAGGTTATTACATGGGTAGACACAGTAGGGAAGCTCCTGCAAGGTGATATAGACAGGTTATTACATGGGTAGACACAGTGGGGCAGTACACGGACACACTCAGTAGGGAAGCTCCTGCAAGGTGATATAGACAGGTTATTACATGGGTAGACACAGTAGGGAAGCTCCTGCAAGGTGATATAGACAGGTTATTACATGGGTAGACACAGTAGGGAAGCTCCTGCAAGGTGATATAGACAGGTTATTACATGGGTAGACACAGTGGGACACAGTACACGGACACACTCAGTAGGGAAGCTCCTGCAAGGTGATATAGACAGGTTATTACATGGGTAGACACAGTAGGGAAGCTCCTGCAAGGTGATATAGACAGGTTATTACATGGGTAGACACAGTGGGACACTACACGGACACACTCAGTAGGGAAGCTCCTGCAAGGTGATATAGACAGGTTATTACATGGGTAGACACAGTGGGACACACTCAGTAGGGAAGCTCCTGCAAGGTGATATAGACAGGTTATTACATGGGTAGACACAGTGGGGAAGTACACGGACACACTGGAAGCTCCTGCAAGGTGATATAGACAGGTTATTACATGGGTAGACACAGTGGGACACTACACGGACACACTCAGTAGGGAAGCTCCTGCAAGGTGATATAGACAGGTTATTACATGGGTAGACACAGTGGGGACAGTACACGGACACACTCAGTAGGGAAGCTCCTGCAAGGTGATATAGACAGGTTATTACATGGGTAGACACAGTAGGGAAGCTCCTGCAAGGTGATATAGACAGGTTATTACATGGGTAGACACAGTGGGGACAGGGTAGACACAGTACACGGACACACTCAGTAGGGAAGCTCCTGCAAGGTGATATAGACAGGTTATTACATGGGTAGACACAGACACACACTCAGTAGGGAAGCTCCTGCAAGGTGATATAGACAGGTTATTACATGGGTAGACACAGTGGGGGGCAGTACACGGACACACTCAGTTGGAAAAGCTCCTGCAAGGTGATATAGACAGTAGGGTAGCACAGTGCAAGCTCCTGCAAGGTGATATAGACAGGTTATTACATGGGACACAGTGTGGACACACAGTGGGGAAGCTACACGGACACACTCAGTAGGGAAGCTCCTGCAAGGTGATATAGACAGGTTATTACATGAGTAGACACAGTGGGACAGTACACGGACGCACTCATTAGGGAAGCTCCTGCAAGGTGATATAGACGGGTTATTACATGAGTAGACACAGTGGGACACTACACGGACACACTGTGTTAGGAAGCTCCTGCAAGGTGATATAGACAGGTTATTACATGGGTAGACACAGTGGGGCAGTACACGGACACACTCAGTTGGAAAGCTCCTGCAAGGTGATATAGACAGGTTATTACATGGGTAGACACAGTAAGGAAGCTCCTGCAAGGTGATATAGACAGGTTATTACATGGGTAGACACAGTGGGACACTACACGGACACACTGTGTTGGGAAGCTCCTGCAAGGTGATATAGACAGGTTATTACATGGGTAGACACAGTAAGGAAGCTCCTGCAAGGTGATATAGACGGGTTATTACATGGGTAGACACTGGGGCAGTACACGGTAACACTAACAATAAAAGAGTTTACCTGCAAAACTGGAGTTCGTTGTTATTGCCACATGTGACGGTGGTGTCACAGGTGTCCATGTCGTCGTTCTTTTCCAGGGGAAACTTCAGTCTCGTTCGTCCACACGTCTCCCCGTTGTCCTCTGTTGTCAAGGAAAGCAGTTAACATATACAGAATACTGTACAAGCTCCATGGTAATACCGATTTCTTTGAACGCGTTCTGGTAACTACTCCATCGGGATTAGCTGTCGTAGATACCTCATACAGAAAGCCATAATCGCGGGGTCGAATCCCGGGTCGCGATGATTACCTTTTAGGATTGTTTGCACCATACCAACGCTCTAGGGTTCCCCCAAACCGTAAACGTGTTCGACGTGAACTACGTTGGGATCTCCTCTATATAAGCCGATACACCAGGATCTGGCTCACCACGTTAAAGTATGGGATATTTGAATACCGTATGCCCATGAAGATTCGGATTAGAATTGGTCTTCAGCAACCAATTCTTGTCATAAGAGGCGACTAACGGGATCGGGTGGTCAGGCTCGCTGACTTGGTTGACACATGTCATCGGTTCCCAATTGCGTAGATCGTTGCTCATGCTGTTGATCACTGGATCGACTGGTTCAGACTCGATTATTTACAGACCACCATCATTTAGCTGGAATAGTTCATCGTTAAACAGCATATGAAGCAAATAGAACATCTTAGCCATAGGTCGCACTATAAAACTGATATCTGCCTTTGTCAGGTATATCTCTGAGAGATCTTACTCTGATTTATATTCCCATTCCATCACAAACATTATGTTAGCATATGTCCTGTTATGCAAGTAGCCTATACCTACTGTGAACAAATACATCGAAGAACTTCAGTGAACACTCTGCAGAGACTTTGTAGGCGCCAGCTAGTAGCAGCATCACCATGACAACACTCAGCAACTTCATTGTGGGAAATAGAGATGTCCTGAAACTGAAACAACACATTCAAGGTGACTCCCCGGACGGTTAGTGTTGACCAGACAGAAGTGCACGGTCAGCATTGTACAAGTGATTTACTCCGGGATAATTGTTAACTTAAGACAGTGCTCACGCCTGTTTGCAAGTTTAGTACCGAATACATAAGCTAGCTCGTAAGTACACATATGCATTTGAAGACATCGACATAATGACATAATCCAAAAATTGGTTTACAGACTGAGTGTAAACACATACACGACATGTTTTGGAATCTGCTTAATTCATCATCGGAATGCATATTTGGTGTGATCTGTCAGGGTTAAAAATATGAAATGAGCTTTGTCTCATGGCAAGAACAACCATAACACAACATCCCCATAAACTGAAACTGTGTGAAACTGAGTACTGTTTAGATTCAGGGAATCACTACAAAGCAGTAACTGTTATGTACTGATATTTCTTCGAGAGAAAAGTTAAACACGTAAAAATAGCGCTTTAAACAGTACTGTTAAAAGGAGACTGATCAGCCAAATGCTAGTCATATACAGACGAGAGCAATTCCCGACTTAAAACACAAACACAATACAGGCACAAGTATATATATACTGAGGGAAAAAAATAAGGGATCACATGAAAGCACAAGTTTTCCTTTATTTTCTTCCAGGTTTCTTCACAAGTTGTGCGGTACAAAGCTTGTGAAGAAACCTGGAGAAAAAAGGAACACTTGTGCTTTTATGTGATCCCTTATTTTTTCCCCTCATTATATATAAAGTGCATACTTGAACATCTAAAATGTTTAGAAAACAGTTAGGTAAATATTTCGTCTGTATCATTCCACGAACGTAAAATATGATATCACGTATAGTAAGAGAAGTAATGAGAACATGTAAGTCTATGGCGGACATACCTGGTGGTTGATCAAGGATGGTTGTGTGTGGCTTCCAGCAGGAAGAACACCTTCACCTTGGCTAATCCCTCTCTGCAATCTGTTGTCGGGATTAGATTGACCAACAGTCAGTGTGGACATATGTGGCAAGTATGTATCAAATATGTAAATATTCTACACAGGGTATTAACGTTAATCAATGGTTAGTAGCTTAAGAAAAGACTCGGGACAACTTTGGGTCGAAGATCGCTACAAAGAAAATACCTGAACGTCTCCCCCTTGAACTCCGTTCTCCTCAAACCAATTCCGCTTTCAGAACTGCTCTCAAGATCTAGCTTTAAACTAAACTTTTCTCCCCTGAATGCGTATTGGGCATGATATTGAGATAGGAAAAGCCAAGTACAAACTGACCCTTATTATTAAGCTTCATCTTTAAAGACCGCCACCTTGGTGTAGTGGTTAGAGCGTCCGCCCGGAGAGCGGAAGGTCGCAGGTTCGATCCCCGACCGCGTCATACCAAAAGACGTTAAAATATGGTACTTGTTGGTCCCTGCCTGGCGCTCGCATTAATGGGTACAACAAGGACTGGTCGGCTCGGAGTCAGTATAATGTGTCTGAGTGGGGTATTCATGCTTCACTGCGGCATGGTATCTCAGTGGGCTAGCACTATAAAACCAGCTTCGGTCTGGGCTAGTACAAGCAGTCGCACCTACACATACACACGCATGCACGTCGTCATATGAGTGAAATATTCTCAAGCACGACGTTAAACCCAATTTCACCTCACCTCACCTCATCTTTAAAATAGATGAATGCAGCAAAGAGAGTTCGGTAGACAGTACAGCCAGGCTGCTACTCAACATCAGGTTTAGGCCCTTGCCCCCTTTACACGCATTCCTTTCAGCAAATAGGACTTCTCCCAGGAAACACTGCCTAGTTGAACCCATCACAACTTTTCGGAAAACATGTGGGATCCCAAACACTGCAGGCTTATGTGTTGGAAGAGCTGTGCTCACAGTGAAGAACCCGCGCATACTCCTAATCTGCGTCAGAAGATCAGGAGGTAACCACTCCAAGGGCACCAAGAACAATAGGGAGCCTGATGACAAGTGTACTTGGGATGCAAGCGAAACATTTTAAAGGGAGGCCCGCATATTTGCCAAGTTTGTCCTGAATCTTGACAATCACGGCAAAACTGTCAAACGGGAAAGAATGATATAAATAAATCCATCTATAAGGACAATATCAGGCTTTGTTAACATGGATATGTCTGAGGATATATAAATGAGACTATTCCAAATTTTTAAAAAGTGTCAATTTCCATATTGTGGGTAGTATCGACCTCTGAGTCAAAACCCCAAGCATGATGAAGACGGTAATATTAATTATTACCATTATTATTTCATAATAGAGCGATCAAAAATACTTTCAAGCATAGAGCTGAAAGCGAAGCTAAGATCATGCAATCATAGCTCGTTCATCGCATCACTCGAAACCTGTTGAAACATATTTCGAACGGTTTAGTATTTTGTCTCAGAAAAATCATATTAATCAAACATCGAGTCGAGAATGAAAATGTTGATATCTTCTCAAATATTTGTAACAATTTAGTAACTGATCACAGTCGGATATCACTATGCCGCGTTAACCTCCGGGTGAGTGAATGAATTGTCTTTTACGCCGTTCAGCTATATTCCAGTGTTGTCACGACAGAGGACACCAGGAATGGGCTTCACATGTTGTACCCACGAGGGGAATCAAACCCGATCCTTCGCCGAGACAAATGGGTGCATTAACCACAAGCCTACCCACCGCACCGTCAACCACCAGCAGTACGACGTGACATTCACACACATATTGACGTGTAACTATACAAGAGTCTGGTAATCCTCTTTAAGCTGTGCCCGCATATCTGCTGAAGAGAACTTTCTTTGGTGAGAAACCTGGACTCGGCACGAAACAGCACAGCATTATTGTTTCAAGGTCAATATACCAGCAAACATATGGCTGTAGATGTAATATAATATAAACGAATCTCAAAATTATATATCATTTACAGTTATTTACATCCTGGTCTGAAAGTGGATGAACGATTGTGAATAAAATTCTTGCAGCCTTATCAACATTCAGCAAGATCACGGTAGGTAACATAAAAATGGACTGAACACTGTCCTCATGTCGGCAATTGAACCTGGGTCTCTAGCGTGACGTGCCTGCAAATTGGGTAGGGTTGTTGTAGTAGTTGCAAATGAGTGAGTGAGTTGAGTTTTACGCCGATTTTAGCAATATACCAGAAATATCACGGCGGGGGACACCAGAAATGTGTTTCACATTGTACCCATGTGGGGAATCGAACCCGGGTCTTCGGCTTGACGATCAAACGCTTTAACCACTGGACTACCCCACCGCCCTAATTGCAGATGGTGTGCACGTGTTGTGGTTAAAACAGTGGCTGAGAACATCGTTGGCATAAACATCATGTACATGATGGCTCTCACACGTGTCAGTGTTCACCTAATGAAGGTCAAGACATAACCATGAAATGCAATAAGCACAGTTTCAGCTGTGACGGTGGTCTGTAACGTCAGTGACAAACCAGTGACTAATATTATGAACAACATCAACCCCTATTAACCATATCACTGAGGATGTATTATAGGTTCAATTTGCAGCCCCTTACAATGATGGTGTTCTTTCATCCAACACTAACACGATAACTGAGTTTTCGTCAAACATCGTTTAGATGCCAGATTTTCCCAATTTTCGAAACTTCTTTAGATTAACCAAACCAGTATTCAGGCCAATATCCTGGTCAGATGTCCAAAATACGAGTCGAATGACCCAACGTTTAAGTTTGTTGATACTATTCGAGTATGTTACAGGATGGCATGTTTACTAATTTATGGTTTTCATAATTATCATCCACAGAATCATTCATAACATAAGTGTTCACATAATGTAAATGATTATTGTTGACGTAAAACATATACCACTGTTGACATAATGCAAATACTAGCGTTGACATTATAGTATTACCATTATGGACAGTGAACAAATACCATTGTTGAGGTAAAACAAACGCCTTTGTTGTTGTTGTTGACATTATATTATTACCATTATTGATAGTGTACAAATACCATTGTTGACGTGAAACAAATACCATTGTTGACATTATAGTATTACCATTATGGACAGTGAACAAATACCATTGTTGACATGATGCAAATACCATTGTTGACATGATGCAAATACTATTGTTGACATGATGCAAATACCATTGTTGAC